TACTTATTACACAGTAAATTGAAACCGTTGAGCTAGACATGATCGATATAAGCCTACGGATAAACTAGTATACATCAAATCCTTGTCAGACTTCCTCTGTATAGCCAGACTATCATTTGTCAGCCTCCTTTGCCCACTATACTTTTGTTCAGAATCAGCATTTAGATTGAAGTTTATATGAAAACAGGCAGCTTGTCGAGCATTCAAAAATACATCAAAACATGTCAGTCAGTTTGAAAGAGGAAACAAAATATTTCCTGCTAGTACTGTGATATAATTAAAAGTACCAATTAAATTCTAGAATATACAGCCAATGGAAAACTATATTATGTAGGAAAATAGAGAGAATATTTAGAGTGGGAAAATGTAACGCTTGTTTCCCATGAGCACATTGAGATTAAAAGACGCGTTACCCAACTATGGTCACCTTGTCTTATGGTTAGTAATTCAGCTGCTTTTGTAGAACAAATTTTAGTTTTTGAACCTCCGAAAATTTACATTCGTAAGATGGTGGAGACTTTTCAGATTTTTTAAAGAAATGTGTAGCCAAGATAGTGATAGGTTCAATGTTAGTGAACCACAAGTTAATCCCCACCGTAGCTGCTACCTTGACGTGGTGGTCGCGCTTGCCTATCGTGATGACCCAACCGAGCTATACTGGCTGGAACATATGTTCCTGAAGGTTCTATCATGCCAGGCAGGTTGATTGGAGGACGATGAGACTAAAAGCAGCTACCCAAGGTCTGAGGGTGACATCGCACTGCTGACTGTAAAGGAATGTGACAGCAGTAAGGTGTTTCCCTCGGACAACCAGCATCTGCAGCGACACTGCCTTATCACAAAGAAGGAAGAGTTAGAAAAGGTCGACCCTAAAAATGTCACATCTCACCTTACCTCACGGATTTCCGTCTCCGGCGGTAAGGATGCCCACTAAGGGCTTTCAAGAGAGGAGCTAATACACCAAAAACCTTTAATAAAAAGGCCGTGCGTGACCGGCCTCAAGCAGTTGTCCCTTGGGCTTTTCGGTCACGCTCTCAGTTTTCTAAGACCAACATTAATCTACTTTCCTTTTCAGGTTCCTCAATAAACAACCTTCCACAGTGTGGGCAACCGGGAAGTGACAACCGCCCTCATATCCGTAACAGCACACGAGACCGAATTGGTCGAAATCAAATCTTTCCTACACCCCCTGATATGTCTCTTATCTCCATGACTAATTCTACACAAATTCCTTTATCTCCCCGCACCTCTGCTACAAACGATTCGAGTCCTCGAAACGTTATTCCTGGTCCCTTGAAGCCCCGTTCTAAACTACATGTTGGAGCGTTTAACGTACGAACAGGCTTCATTAGCTAGGACTTTAGAATCTCACTCAATCGATGTATGCTGCGCCTCGGAAACGCGCATACAGGATCCGAGTAGCATCATTCACTTGACCTCACCATGTCAAGATAAAGAAGCAACTCGATTTACCCTTCGTGTATCAGGTAGCCCTGTTGCTGCTTCCCGGGATCTCGCTGGTGTAAGTATAGCATCGAGTCGTAGGGCAGAACAATCTGTCCTTGACTGGATCCCTGTAGATGGTCGTTTGTGCGCTGTCCGACTAAACGGGACAGTGAGGATTCGGAAGGACGGGGACACTCGTCGTTGCCTCTTCGTCATATCAGCCTACGACCCACTGACTGTAGTTCAGACAAGGTGAAAGATGAGTTTTACAGAAAGCTTCCGGACCTCCTCCAAACTGTTAAGCGCTCTGATATAGTTATAATGGCTGGTAACTTAAATGCTCAAGTAGGTAGACTATGTGAAAATGAAAGACACCTTGGTGGATCTTATGGTGTCTCAGCTCAGAGAGCAGACAATGGTGACCGTCTGTTGCAAGTATGCTCAGACAAACGCCTATTCTTAGCAAACACTAACTTTAGGCTTAAGGAAAAGCATCTGTTGACCTGGCGACCTCCAAAGTCGTCTCAACGTTAGACGCAACTAGATCATATCGCCATCAGCCACCGATGGAGGGGTTCGATAGAGGACTGTCGCTCGTTCTGGAGCACATGTTTAGATTCAGATCATGTTCTAGTGCGAGCGCGTATTTGTTTGCGCCTTATTGGACGCCAAAAAAATATCGCAAGTAAACCTCTTAGGGCTTTACTTAATGATAATCAAGTATAGAAAATATTTCAGGAGTAACTAGAAAAAAAGTTAGGCGACTATGTAAGTGATTTCCATCAGGAGGCAGGTTGGAATGATTTCACAAAGGCTAAGGAAACAGCAGTGATATCTGCCAGCAAGATAAACCATAAGGTTAGGGAGAAGCCATGGACTTCAGTCTCATCCACCGAACTGATGGATGCTCGAAAACGCATCCCACCTGACTCTGAACATGATGAAGAGCGAAGTCAGCTTAGGCGTAGACTGATAAAAAGCCTACGTAACGCCCGCGATAGAAAAGGCAGCGGCGATAGGCAACACTTGACAACTTTTCCGCCTTATCAAAGAAACCGGAATGTGAGTGAGACTGTCTCAGAAAAGGATGGGATTATTATCCATTCTGAATCCAGGAGACTGGACTGACGGGCAGATCACCTTAGGGATCAGTTCAACTGGTCTTCAGCCACACTTCGGGTGTCCACGATCCCCAGTCATCTTGAATGACAAATCGACTTAAGCCCTCCTAGTCTACATGAAGTTGAGAAAGCGATAGGAAATCTAAGGCGAGTGCGAGCAGCAGGTCCTGATAGGCTTACCCTTGAGATGTTTAAGGATGGTGGTCCAGTTTTAAGAGTTCGACTAACCGAGATCTTAGGTAGAATCTGGGAACTGGACGTAATCACATCTGACTGGTCTCAGTCGCTAATTGTCCCAATCTACAAGAAAGGACAAAAGTCCTCTTGTGACAATCACAGGGGGAATAAGTCTAGCTAATATAGCCTCTAAATTATTAGAGTCTTCTAACTACCGTAAGCAACAATGCAAGCATGTTCGGGATACGGTTTTCCTTCCCGAAATGCAAAATGTTGCTTCAAGATTGGGTTGCATCGGCACCTGAACTAGTGGTAGGGAGTGAAGTAGTCGAGCGTGTTGATCACTTCAATTAACTGGGGAGTCTCATCAGTGCTGATAGCCTGGTGACTGACGAAATCTCAGCGCATATACAGAAAATCTATTTGCTTTTGCCAATTTAATCCGTTTATGGCGTAGGCGAGATATCCGTTCGCTAACCAAAGGACGGGTGTACTGCGCAGCAGTTCGCTCTATTCTCCAATATGGATATGAAACATGGCCGTTAAGAGTGGAAGATGTTCGTAGGTTACTAGTATTCTATCATAGATGTCTCCGAAGCATTGCTCGTATATCGTGGGACAACCGAGTAAGCAATGCTGTCGTTAGGAAACGAGAACTAGGTAAGGATGGCAGATCAATAGATGAAGTGGTGAAACTTCATCAGTTGAGGTGGTTGGGACATGTGTTACGAATGCCTAACCACCGACTGCCCCGACGAACTATGTTTTGTGGTGTAAGAGTAGGTTGGAAGCTAGGGGCGGCCAGACCAAAACATGGCACAAATCCATGAAGTCATTGACAAGTGGACTGAGTCGTGTTGGTAGATGTAGACTACCTGGTTGGGGTCCACGAGACGAAAGTCACCAACGGTTAGAGACCTTGAACGACATGGCTCAAAATCGTTTGCAGTGACGCAAGTGCATCCATTCATTATGCTCTCTTAAATCCTAATCTTCTGGATTCGTCAGCACCTCTACCTTTGTACTCCTAACCTTATCTCACTGAATTATATTTCTTGAATAATATCTTCAAATCCAAGTCTTGTTCATTACCAATAATACCTCTACTATCTCTATCACTATGGGATTTGATTTGACATTTGCGTCTCTGTGCTGATGTGGTATGGCAACCTGAACTTATGTACATACGTACGAAGTTCTACGTTACAACCGACTGACTGACTAAGTTCATCATACTGAATAGTTTCTGTCAACGTGCATGAAACTGAAATTCCTTCAACTGGAAGAAGCAATCACCATTAGGATAGAAAAATGTCGAAGCTGGGTGTACAAAATAAATATGTTCAACTCCCTCTCTTACGTTTCTACTAGTTTCAATCTTAGAATGACCGAATTTAAGTAATTTACATACAAAGTTTCTCAGATAAGTGTTATTTTCCGGATCTTATTGTAGATAGTTAGGACCGCAATGGGTCAATCTGTAGTGATATATGTGCATCATGTGCGGATTGCCTCGATATAGCTGTGAATTTTCAAGCATTAATAGCTAAGATGAATATTGGATAGCAGTGAATGTACCTACTACCTAAGACTGAACATCAGCTCTGAGATGCAGGCGCACTCAGCTACAGACCAGTCCAAAAAGGACGAAACGTGCATCCCGGATTGCAATGCTAACACCAATATTCATTAACGCTTATAATGCTACTTTTTTCTCGCTAAAAATTTACTTACCACACACTCATTCTTCGTGAATTCACATTGTTTCATAAATGAAATAGAGTAGTTACATGAAACGTTTGAACAGACTTGTGTTTGTCTCATGTTATCTAGATTTATTCCGACCACTAATCTCTGCAGTTGTTCATTTGACCAATGTAATCTCAAAAAACTTCATATGCTCTAATTATTAACAAATGTAGTTAGTTCACCTTAAACCGGACCACTTTTAAGACGATTAGGATATGGAACACAAATGCGAATTCATTGAATTAGAATATTTTATCAGGGTTAATTTTGTTGTTGGCATTATGATGGGAATTTTTGCAAACAGGTCAATCTAGATGGCATTTTCTCTTTGATGATGCTTCCCCCAGTACATAATTTGTTTGTTTTTTTTTATTATTAGCCTTTTTCTTTTCTACGTCGATTTCTTTCTACCCAACTACAACATCTTTTCTTGAAATTATGATGGGTTATTTTGTGTAAAACAAAAAAAAAGCAACTGAATTTCTGTTTTATTTTATAAACGAATCAATGCAATAACACGAAACAGAATCTTCATCATCATTCATATATTTATTATATTAGTAAAACAATCATCATTTATGTATATGTATATATATATATCTAAACATATAAATTAATTGTTCAATTCTAACCAAAAATTAACAAAACAAAACAAAAAATAGGAAATTGTAAACAAAATTTATCCAACCAAACATTATATAGGTATATATATATATATGTGTGTGTGTGTTGTGTCCTCTCCCTAATCTACCAACAAAATTGATCTGTGTTATGCGTAGTACGAATGCATCGATGAAAAAAATATACAACAATAATAGATTGAAGAAGAATGGCAATCAATAAATGGTGGGGTCTTATTTTGATAATGAAAATCGAAATTGAGGTTTAATTTTCCGTTGCAGTGGTTGATACAAACAAAACAGTTCATATTGGCTATATATAAATAAACAATAACATTAGTAAATCAAATGCAAAATATTGAATACTATGATTTTTGGAACAATAATAATAATTGTCGTCTTAGTGAATGGTATTTCATTTGTATGATTATGATAGTAGAAATTGTAAAAAAATGGCTTGACATTACATACTACTGAATTCTTTCTATCAATAAGTACATGTACTATATATATATATATGTGTATAAAGTGAATTTGCCAACAAAAATGTAGTTGAAAACATGCGAACACAACTGAAACATCCTGTTCATTATAATTCTAGTAAACAGTGAATAATCAATCAATAGTAGACAGAAAAAAAGTGTACAATCAATATGAATCAACTGGGAAATAAGGAAAAAAAGCAACGAACGAGATGTGTGTGTGTGTATGTGTGTGTAGACAGAGTCAGTCAATTCAGATTACTGACTTGTTGAACCAGATAATTCAAGCGCTTATGAGTGTATGTGTGATAATGTATTTACTTTTGTATGTTTTTAATTTAATTAAAAAAATAAATCAGATTTGAAAAAATAAACGAGCAAACAAACACGCAAACAATGAATGAAACACACATACGCATAGATATGTTTCCACTGATTCCACTGTTCATCATTATCATTATTATTGAACAGCATCTTTTAGGAAAAGCACTGTGAATGTTTCTTCGCCTCATAGATTAGTACATTTGGTCGGTTGATTCGTAGTATTCTCATCACAATCTGAAGATACTAAAAATTGGTCGGGTAATTTTATTTTATTTGTTGTATCACTGTTTGCATCAATCATAATAAAACCAGAGGATGATGGTTGTGAACCAAGCAGAACGACAGAATTAGCTGCAGCTAGTGCCTAAAATTGAAAAATTAATGCACAAAAAATAGGTGAAGGCATTTAATTTTTTATTGATTTCTTTGAGCACAAAATGAATTGCATGTACAGAAAGAATTTTCGGTTACTGATCAATGATCAATCAATTAATTGTAAAACTGTCGCAATCCTTTTCACGGCAACATAATCAAACTATGAAGAAGGCGAATGACAAGCGATCATGTAAACCCGCTAAATCACAACAACATCTCATAAATGTTTGCAGGCGGCTTATGTTGACAGGTGTTATACTTAGCACGAAATCCAAACCTAAGGTGGTCTGTAGACAACCACCAAACCATAACGTGGTGTATGCTATGTTGAATCACTTAGACTAAGGATTGAATTACAAGTTGATCGATAGAAATCAACTGGCAATAAGTCTCAATGATCATTTTATGAAAATTTCATTACTTATTCAGCATTATCAATGACAATGAATGGTTGTTAGGTTACATGACAAAATTACTAAAGTTGAAAGACCGGTTTAGATAAACATCAGTTAATCCAGCAGAGTTTATCAGTAACCTGTTCCTTAAGTAAGCCAGATTTATGGAACACTTGATGTTGTATATGTATGCATAATACTGAGAAGCGTAAAACAAAGGGTAAAACAGCTGTGCACTACACTCTCTGATTCCTAACAGTTCACCAGCTGACAAAACGAGCTGCTACAAACCAATTTTAGCATCGAAAGATAGTTTTCCGCGATAGTACCAGTCAATTTTTATAGTCTAAATTATTAACTGATTTAAGCAGGACAACTTGTAGCACCTCACATATATTTTGTACTTGTATCATTATTGAGCTGGTGTATGGCGCATGTATGCTCGGGCATTGTGCTTACCGCCTACAAATTATTGAAAACCTTGAAGCGCTGAATAACTGTTTCGTCTAAGTGTGGGCTATCTCAAAACTGTGCATCTACGTCCATACAACCAAGAACAGAACTCAGAACCTTAGGTCTCTTGTTCAAACGGTTAACATCCAAATCAATGTGCGGATATCTGACAGGGTTATTGTCTAAAATCAACCAGTTTACGATATAGAACCACCTATGGAGGTGAACTACTGTCTCATATTCCTAGTAAAGTTAAACTCCACTGGAAAACAAAGTAGCCATCTAGTGCCTTCAGGTTTTCAATGATGGCTTAACTAAAATCGATTATGGATTTTAACTGTAAAAAATGTTTAATTAGTGAAATCGAACAAAAAAACAAACTCATTTTCACGTACAGTTTGACTTGCTGTCAATAATGCCGCTGCATTAGCTGGATTCATATCTGTATTGCTAACAACTCGTTTCACTACTTCACGTGTATGTGCATAGGTAAGTTTTTCGGCAACATTTAATTTACTTTGAAAGAATTTCGTATCATCTATTACACCAGCAGCAGCTAAACCACTTTTCAGCGAACTATTTAATCCATAATTTAGCTGTAATTGACTGCCATCTACAGTGGTTGTTCCACCGATTGGTGGCGCATAGATATTATTACCACCAGCTTCATTGATACGTGATTCATTCGATTTAATCATGGAAATGAATTCTGCACGATGCTCTTTATCAGCTGGTCCCCATTCATGGACAGGTTTTAAGAATTCTTTTAATAACTATGCAGAAATAAGATGGACAGAAAAATCAATTTATCTCAATGAACTTGACAATGTTTTATTTGATTTGAGAAAAAAAAAACTAAGCGGCTCAAGCTAAACAACCACTGAAAACCAAGAATCACTAGACAGAAGGTGTTCCATCTACAATTACGCAAATCAATTGAAGTTTGATAAACAGATTTATTGAATAAAGACTCAGTGATGTCTTTTTTTTTAGAGAACAAAACATCTGTCTAATGTTTAGTCCTATTAAATGACAGTTTAATTGATGTCATTCAAAGTTGTAAACGCTAAAATTCCATAATCTCTACAGTCCACCTGATAACGATGATGGTAGGCTTCAATGTGAACTAAGTGACACTTGAAAAGGAATCACGTAGTAGTAGTAGTAGGAGTAGTATGAATCGGACAGTTACTTTTTCTTTAACTACGTACGAAAATTTCTTGAAAATTTGAAAACTCATCACCATACACATTCACCGAAACATATAAGAAACTGAATTGTTCTTCGAAAAAATCCACAACAATGGTAAAATTGTTTTTTTTTTAATTTAGGAATACCAACAAACACTTGAAATACTTTGATTGATAAATCAACTTCAAATAAATAGATAAAAATTAAAAAAGAAACCTATTCTACCATCTTATATATGAGATGATTTACAGACAACTTTTTTTCTAACTACGCCCGGAGCCCTTCTAGGGTTACTGGTCAGTTTCAAACTCGGATAAAGTTCGATTGGCTAGACATGGGAGTTAGTGACCCTCTGCGTCACGTAGGAAACCAACTAGATAAAAAATAAACGCTAATCGAAACAAAGAAGAATATTTTTTTTTTATGAATCATATGATTCATTATATTATATAAATACAACAATTTAAATATTCAGTTAGTTATATCAAAATGTATATAATTAGCTATTCATTCTAGTTAGCGCTTTTTTGGCAGCTAGACAATCTGGACTATTTCTATCCAACACACACACAAAGAAAATGCAAGTAGGGATGGCCAGTGTATCAACAGCTTTTGCAGCAAAAGGAAAGGCATAATTCATAGATGCAACACAATATGCACCAATCAAAGCGTACTTGACGGAGAAGTTTTGGAAGAAGTAAAATCCTTTACACAGCATTATTGATGAACAAGGTAGATCTGATGCTGATGTAAAGTGAACGCAAAATATCAGAAGAACAACGAAAGCTCCACAACCAAAACAAGCAGCTCAGAGAACCAAACACCACCATCACAATCATCCACCTGAGCTACAAGTTTTCTCCATCAACTAACACTAAAATCACAATTTTTAATACAAACGTCAAAGCCATTCCTATTCTTTGTAGCTGAAACCTTGAAGAACTAGGAAAAGCATTGTCCAAACGATAGAGGTGTTTTATTAATAGTAGTCTTAAAAAGATACAGATGATCTGTTTACCAGACAGCAGCATCAGAAGCAACCCATTGTGGGAAAGGATAAACCCGGTTCCATGTGAGGAAGAAATTAGGAAGAAACACTGCGGAAATAATCCAACTTGGAATCCTCAAAGTTGGAAGAAAACAGGTTTATCAAGGAACAGGTTACACGAAGATTTGGGAGCAGATATCAAAAGAATGAATAGCAAGTGATAGGAAATTCAAAAAAAGGTCCAGAACAGACTAAGTGAGAATGTTGGCCGGCTGCCTATGCTGCATTAGGGGTAACATGAGTAAGTAAGTAATGAATAATTGATTTTATCGGTTGAAATTCTCAATTGTTTTAGTATTTGATTAGATCAGTGGGTTGAAGTTGTTTGTTTCACGGGAATAATTATAAATGCACTAAATCAAAGGAAATGTATATACTACGTTTTTAGAGTGATGCCTCATCGCATGAAGTTGGCTTATTCACCTTATCCACTCCGCTTTGTTTAACCTTTACGCTTCGCATTCTCATGTCTGTCTGCTAAAATGAATGACTTTATGAAATAAATTCATCCACAAAACTGTGTTTGACTTCTTATCACCACCACCACTGTCGCACAAACTGGGCTCGCCCAAGTATGATATATAGCAATTGAAGAGATTTATTTCATAGCATATTTCAATTCCTAAACACCAGATTTAGATCGCTGGCTACTAAAGTGGCGAGTCCTATCACATCGAATCTAATAATGGTTTCGAGGTAGAATTAGTTGGGTTTTTTTTAAAAAAAAAATGGAAACCACTAGCAACAAAAAGAGTACAACATTCTTATTTCACAAAAAATAGTAATCCCTATTGAAATGGACAATACGAGCAAGGAAAAAAACCAAATGATCGAACCATAAATCCATATTTCAATTGTAACTTACTAGAAAACCACCTTCACTACAATATTTATAAGTAAACCAACCAACAATGAAAAATACAGTTTGAAAGGATAATAGTTGATAAAATATATATGTCCATGCTGGAAAAGAATAATCTTTCTCTTTTAATTCAATTCGATTAGTTAATATAGAGATAATTAATAAAAAACAAATCACTGGCGTAAATACAAGCCAACAAATACGCCAATACCAATTCGGTCGTTCATTAATCATCAATCCAATATCACGTCGAAATTGTTTTAAACCTAAACAATAAGGTGATCAAAATAAACAGTGATAATGTACCAGTGAAATAAAATATCATCAATATGTAATTTATACATATATATATATATATATATTTATGTCGCTTACTCTCACCCTTTCTCTTTCTCCTAGTCATCGACTGGATTATGAAAACGTCAACATCTGGAGGGAAGCACGGTATCAACTGGACAGTTAGGACGCAGCTGGACGATCTGGACTTCGCAGATGATCTGGCTCTCCTATCGCACACTCAACAACAAATGCAAGAGAAGACGACCAGTGTAGCAGCAGCCTCTGCAGCAGTAGGTCTCAACATACATAAAGGAAAAAGCAAAATTCTCCGATGCAACACAACATGCACCAACCAAATCACTCTTGATGGAGATGCCTTGGAGGACATTAACACCTTTACATATCTGGGCAGCATCATCGACAATCAAGGTGGATCCGATGCAGATGTGAGGGCACGGATTGGCAAAGCGATGGCTGCATTTCTACAGTTTAACAATATCTGGAACTCCAAACAGATATCAATCAACACCAAAATAAGGATTTTCAATACAAATGTCAAGACAGTTCTAATGTATGGAGCGGAAACATGGAGAACTACCAAAGCCATCATCCAGAAGATACAAGTGTTTATTAACAGTTGTCTACGTAAAATACTTCGGATTTGTTGGCCGGACACCATCAGCAACAACGAACTGTGGGAGAGAACAAACCAGATTACAGTGGAGGAGGAAATGAGGAAGAAGCGGTGGAAGTGGATAGGACACACACTACGAAAAGCACCTAACTGCGTCACGAGACAAGCCCTCACATGGAATCCTCAAGGCAAAAGGAAAAGAGGAAGTCCAAGGAATACATTACGCCGAGAAATAGAGAAAGATATGAGAGGAATGAACAAACATTGGACAGAACTGGAGAAGGAAGCCCAGGACAGAGTTGGTTGGAGAAAACTGGTGGGCGGCCTATGCTCAATTTGGGGTAACAGGCGTAAGTAAGTAAGTAAGTAATATATATTTATATATATTGACTACAGGGTTGAAGAGACTGTCGAGTTCCAATGAAATCATGAATTGGTCGATGTTAGACCACATCATTAGAAAGTAATCTGAAAGCACTGGACGTCCGTTTCGTCTTCTTACATAAGACTCATTAGCAGTGCGTATCCACGACCCCCACTCGTTGGAATAGAACCCAGTGCCTAACATTGATCGATTTGTGCTTTCACAAAAATGTATGTAAATATTTTATACTACAAATGATTCTGAAGAGCAATCTTTTGTACGGATGTTAATTGAGCGAAACGGAGCTTTCTAGTTAAATTAATCATCCAGTTAAACAACAATCTGTTTACATTGACAAGGTAGTATAGTAACTAAGTGATCATAATTATTTTGCAGTATATGAAAAAGTTTGATAAAGTGTTACTGACCCAATATAATTGACCGTATCTGTGTGCAGAGAGAGTATATATAACAGGAAATGAAGTGAAGTTGATAAAAGAAACTGTGATGGAAGATACTTTTATCCATGAAAAAAAATTCATGAATCCATAGAACGGTGATAGTTTATTGTGACGTAGTACGATTTCATCATTTAGCATGTTTGTTACAATGTAAAAAGATAAGTTGCATGGTCATCATCATCAGTGAAATGTACTATGCAATCAATCACGGTCATCATCACGATTCGACAGACCAAGTAACTGCAGTAACTGCAGTAAGTAATAAAATAGATTTTGTGATATTATCCTGTTTTAAATAAAGTAGAAATAATGTTTTCCTGATAGACTGATATTTTACATCGAAAGAAAACCAACATTTGCCAAACTCTTCCAAACAGTGACTAGCTTCTAGAAGAAATTCTTGGCGTTCTTGTGAGATACCATGACTAGGTGTCAAGTTTAATCGAATTGGTTGTGAAATACCTATCCACAGAAGACAACAGATGGTCGTACAATAATATCATGGATGAATTGAATAGAGATAGAAACACCGTTAAATGACAGCGCAATGGTACAAAGGTAGGGCAATCTTGTGCAAGATCAAAGGTTGTGGATTCGATTCATGCGTTCGGAAGGATGCGCATTACTATGGAGTCTCACACTAGGACAAAACGAGTCTCGAGATTGCAAGCTCCGTTGACGGTCTAACATTTGTCGATTCATGCTTTTAATGCAACTCAACAATTTCGAAAACCCAACACTGACTGAAAAACTACCGTTGTTGGCTTACTAGTGACAGACTTCAAGATATTTTGGAAGCGCTTAGTGAGAAATCGTGAATGGTGGAGTTTAAACATGTCATTACCGATGGCATTAAATAATTACTATATTAGATGCAAAACCAAGCAAATGCCGTGGAAATTTATTCACCAACTTCATTGCAAAATGAATGAAGTTGAAATCGATCAATTGAATGTCGGACTAACAGAACTAATGTAAGATTTTCTGATATAGATAGAATAGCAGACCAATTCACACCAACGTCTTATAAGATTTAAATCGCGTAAGTAATGGGATGGCTGGGTTCATCACTTTGTATATAAAAAGTGTATAAAGTATAAAGAGAAGTTTGCTTAAAATATTTGTAAATTATCTAAAAACCTGTTAGTAGTACTTTTGCTTCATATGATGAAATAACTAAAATGCTTTATTTTCATCACAGATAATTCAAACATTTCAATGAAAGCTAGTGTTTGGTACACTACTACAAGTTGTAAAAACTAACGCATCTTATTTTGTGATTACACAGAAGACAAGGATGAGACCAAGACATGAAAGACAATTATTTCAGTTAAAATCATTTCGAAATGTTCAACATGTCTCAGAGATCATTTTTTTAAAACACTTGAGATTGATATACTTTTTTCTCAATTTTTTTCACATGTCTATTCATTTCCTCTGGACAACTTTATTTCCTTCAGCTCAATTAGTCGGAATGCATTTATTTTATTCGCAAGATACAGAGAAGTAAAACAAAATGTGCATCATTACAAATTTTATAAAACACTATTATTTTTCATGTAAAATCATTCATATTCAAAAATCATATCAAGTCAATGTTCAAGCGGTTAGTTTTAATTAATGCAAACTAATTAGTTTGCCATGAAGATGATGATTGTAAGGCTTTTAGAACTTGGAATGTTATTTTTTTAAACATGTCGAAATATCTACTACAATCAATTTTCAGAATTTTCTCTCTTAATTCAACCAGTATAAAGATTGAGTATATAAAAAGATCTTCATTTCAAAGTTTTTAAAATTTAAAATCGATTAATCAATGACTAATATTCATTATCAAGTTTGTCTACTTCATTTGATGTTGATGCTATTTCATCAATCAAGTTGAAAGTATAAACACTACACTAAGCTAAGCAATTCGACCTTGTTTAAACAACAATCTTAGTTTCAAGCAGTTGAAGGCAATTAACACTGGAGAATTTTACATGTTGACGAATTTGTGTTCAAGTTCACTTCTGGCGCTGACTGGTTAACAGTGGTGCCATTGATAGTAATGGTGACTCTTTTTTTCTACGCAATCTGTTAAAGCTAATCACTAGTGTTATTCTTAACCACTATTTGAGCTTAGTTTATTTCATGATAAAAGCAACCAATATAGATCAAGATTTTTAATTATTATTATTTCAGTATTTTGAATTTAATCCTTAAGTGTGATTAGTCTCTGCAGCATTTCTACAATCGAAAAAATATCTAGAACTCAAAATAGCTATCAGCAAACACCAAAGTCGAAATTTTCAATACAAATGTCAAGACAACTCTACTGTTTGGGGTGAAAACTTGGAAAACTACCAAAGCCATAATCCAGAAGACACAAGTGTTTATTAACGGTTGTCTACGGAAAATACTTTGGATCAGTTAGCCAGACACTGTGAGCAACAACCTACTATGGGAGAGAGAGAACTAACTAGATTCCAGCGGAGGAAGAAATCAGGAAGAAGCACTGTTAGAGTACAAGACACACAATCAGGAAAGCACCCAACTGCGTTGCAAGACAGGCTTACGCCTGTAATCCTTAAAGTCAAAGGAAAAGAGGAATGTTAAAAAGCACTACACTGTGAGAAATGGAGAGAGATATGGGAAGAATGAACAACAATTAGACGGAGCTAGGGAGGAAAAGCCCCAGGACAGAGTATGTTGGAGAAATAAAAAAATCAAACAAATGTGTCTGAACAAAGTATTCGACATTGAACTTACCGTATATGTATGTAATGACAACTGTCTCAGTTAATGCAACAACTAATGGAGCATAACCACTCATTACACTGTCATATATTGTGACAAGATAATATCCACCAGCACAAACCAATGGTAATCCCATGAGAAAATTCAAACAGCATACTGATATCCTGTAAATATGTCGAAATATAACGTATGATAAACACGATTAAAATAAGTTACCAATGAGTTTCATACAATATGGTGTCATATTAACAAAAGACCATTGTATAAAATGCCCTACAGATCTTGTTTGGATCATGTCAACTTGTATAAATATGTATGTAAACCCAAGTTTTAACGGTGAAGTTTTGTAATTAGACACAAATATCTTTGATATTGTTATTGATAAGATCAACTATGCCCTTCGTTGTACACACCTACATCCGCAACAAGTTTACCAATGAAAGATCAATGTAACTTTGTAACTACTACGGCAAAAAGAAACACTACCCAATCAAAATCAAATTTATATCACAGTTTACGCCTACGATAAAGTACAATCAGTGGCCCTAAGAAATATTATGCAAAACTTTTTAATTCATACTGATTACTCGTAATAAAATCGGTATGATTTTATACCCCATGTATATCGGATGTTCATACCCAACTCACTCAAACCTATTGGTGATATTGTGGTTTATGTCTGAAACAATTCAAACGAAACATCAGTTTGTTATGTCTTTTCAGTGTTAACTAACTTCATGGTTTCGAACTACTCCAAGGTTTGTAATGTTAGTTTATCTATAAAACTGTCTACATTCTAATGGATTATAAAAACTCAAGAACAATAGGCTATGATTCATTAAAGCGTCTCGAATATCTACTTGTGTGTGATAAAGTGATATAAAGTCATAGCTTTGTTTGTTATCACAGATTATTTCCAAACAGATGCAGTTTTTTTTCCAGTTTATACTTTAAAAGTGGTTGTGTGAATAAGAAATGATATAGGTTAAACAAATCTCACTGAAATCATGAATCACATATCGTTATGCCACCATTAGAAAGATACCTGGAAGCAATGGATGGCCCTGGCATTCCAGTATGAGACACTACAGTAGTGACCATCCACGAACCCTGCTCACGAGAAGCAATCTCAGGACCTTCTGTCGTGCGCGCGAACGCCTAACCTCTAGACCACTGAGCTGGCATCAAACGGTCTTACTCCTCTGACCAACCTCACTCATTGTCTTCGGGAGTTAGTGCCTACGCTCGACAGGGTTGAAATCTTAATGTCATGGCTTCGCACTAGAACTCCGAGAATTTCCTGATGAAGTCAGTCACCCGTGAGCACATTGAGCAATATCCATTATAGAGATACGGAGATCGCTGTTTTCGATTGAAATCATGAATCGACCATTGTTAGACCACCGTTAGAGTGATCAAAGTTAGGCATCAACACTATTGGATGCTGATTCAGTGATCGGGCGAGGCTTAAGGTCTTGGGCCCCATTTCCGAGAGTGGCGGTCTCAGATGCCCACTGCCGAATAGTTACATACTAGGACGACACGATCATCCAGTGTTTCCAGGATTGTTATAATGATGGTCTAACAATGATTGATTCGTGATTTCAATGAATCGATAGTTGTCTTGTTCTCTGAAGAGATAATACAAGTTTACAATAAACATATCTACTGCGTGTCACATAACACCACGGCCAATATTGTAAATTACAAAATTGAAAGTAAAACTTATCGCTCGCTTATAGATAGACAGACAGATGCAACGTAGAACTTCGTACGTAAGTACATCAGTTCATGTTGCCATACCACATCAGCACAGAGATGTAATTGTCAATTCAAATCCAATAGTAGAAGAGGTAGTAGGTATTAGGAGTAATCGGAGAGGTTAGGATTAGAAGATATTATTCAAGAAGTATGATTGAATGAGAAAAGTTTCGAAAGTCAAAACTAGAGTGGTTGAAGAACCCAGAAAATTAGGATTTGAGAGAACACAGAGAATAAATGCACCGGCACCATTGCGAACGATTTCGAGCCATGTCATTCAGGGTCTCTAACCATTGATTATTATCATCTCGCGGACCCCAACCAGGTAGTCGACAATTACCGACATGGCTCACTCCACTCGTCAATGACTTCATGGATTTCTGCCATGTTTTGGCTTGGCCGCCCCTAACTTTCTTCCAACCTATTCCTACACTACAAAACAAAGCTCGATGAGGCAGTCGGTGGTTGGGCATACGCATCACATGTCCCAACCACCTCAACTGATGAAGTTTCATTACTTCATCTATTGATCTGCCATCCTTACCTAGCACCCGATTCCTAATAACAGTGTTGCTCACTCGGGTGTCCCACGATATAAGAGCAATGCTTCGAAGACACCTATGATCGGAAACCAGTAACCTACGAATATCTTCTACTCTGACTGGCCATGTTTCACAGCCATATAGGAGAACGGAGCGAACTGCTGCACAGTACACTCGTCCTTTGATTAGAGAACGGATATCACGCCTACGCCATAAGTGACGCAGGTTGGCAAAAGCCAATCGAGCCTTCTGTATCCGAGCTGAGATTTCGTCAGTCACCAGGCCATCGGCACTGATGAGACTCCCAAGATAAGTGAAGCGGTCTACACGTTCGACCACTTCACTCCCTATCACTAGTTCAGGTGCCGATGAAACCCAATCTTGAAGCAACATTTTGCATTTCGAGGGGGAAAACCGCATCCCGAACATGCTTGCATTGTTGCTTAGGGTGGTCAGAAGACTCTGCATTTTGTCAGCGTCTTAACCAAGTAGGACAATGTGCTTGCTTATACAGCTGGTTATAGAATTATAGCTGAAAAAAAATCGTTGTGTGTAGTCAAACATGTCAATCTATAAACTGCATCAATATAATTGTGGCTTTTTTTCTGTTACTAATGTTCACTATTTGTGTATAATATGTTATACACAAAAAGGTTGATTTTAAGTGGCTAAACTGAAGCTAGGATATATGCCAGTTGTTGTGATAGCTTTTTAAAAATCTAGAATCATGCTCATCATAGTCAGTCAGCCGATTGGACCAGTAAATAACGGTAAAGAAGCCAATGAAAAATGTGTATCGCTTTCGGATACTGAATAACTTGCCAATTTTATTACAACAAAAAATTAACGCAATCAAGTTTCAAAATGGTCCAAAGGGGCATCGAAGGTAGTGTAGAAAACAATTCATACATTATCTTCAGAGTACTCTCCGACTAGATAGCTTTTAAATCTAAAATATAAGTCAATTTTACACAGTCAACTGACATTGACATGACCATGCAGTCAATCAGTCAGATACAACGTAGAACTCCGTACTTACGAACATCAGTCCAAGTTGCCATAACCCATTAACACAAAGACGCAATTGTCAATTCAAAATCACATAGTAGAAGTATAAGCAATATTCTGAAAGAATAGGGTTTGAAGATGTTATTCAAGGAGTATTATCCAGTGAATAAATGAATAAATCGCAAGCGATTTTGAGCAATGTCATTCACTTTCTAACTATCGGTCACTATTATCTCATGGACAGCAACCAAGGAGTCTATACCTACCAACATGGTTTAGTCAACTTGTCAGCGAATTCATGCATTTGTGCCATGTTTTGGTCTTGGCCGCTCCCAGCCTTCTTTCAGCCTATGCACTAAATCACAAAACATCACTAGACAAGGCAATCGATGGTTGGGAACACGGAACACATGTCTCAACCACCTCTTGTCTACTCGGTGGCTCCAGGATACATGAGCAATGCTTCGAGGACATCTATGATCGAATACCAGTAACCTACGAATATCCACGCTTCTTACTGGCCATGTTTCACACCCAAAGACTAGGATGAAGCGAACTGCTACGCAGTATCATCATCCTTTGGTTAGCAAATGGATATCCCTCCTAATCCATAAGTGAGGCTATGTTTACTTAGTTCAATTTATTTCTTAGATTTGAATTCATCAAATTACACTGTTATTATTTAATGTTGCTAAATTTAATGTTTACTATTCCATATTAAAATGTTAGTTATTAATCATAGAAATAAGCAATGAACATGAAAAAAAAGTGAATATAAATAAAAAAGTACTTTGAAAAGGATAAAAGAAAAAGAAAGAGAAACGAACAACTTAACCTTATGGAATCAAGTTTTCTTTTTCGCATTGGGAATTTCAAACAACCTGAATTTGTCCTGTTTCATATATCAGTAAAATGATTTGTTTTTATCTCAATCCTACCCTTTTTTTCTTTCCATAACATTAAACTCAATTAATTCACATGACCTGAAATTTATTATTATTTTCTCAACAAACAATCTAGGTCCATCTTTGTTGAATAAATCTGTACATTAAAATAGATCTTTATTTTGCATTTATCTTTTTATGATGTGAACTTGAGATTTTCACCTTGAATTAATTTTGATGTGAATAATAATGGATGAAAAGTAATCGAAAAGGGAAAATGAAACACTGAAATAGTGTACCATTGTTTGTTTTCATGACTTTTAAATGAATAAACTGACGAAAAGAAGGAGTAAATATACGACCACTTTTTCTTCCTTAAAATGGAGATCACAAATCCGCTCTAAGTAGACAAGCATTGTACACCAGAAAACGATGGACAGCCTCTTTTACGTCGTTTGATGAGACTCTTCTACAGTGTACATTTTAGTGTTAACCAAGTATTGAATCCAGAATCTTTAGGTCTCGATGCAAGTGATAATCCTTTGGTTGGTAACCTAAGTCTAATCGCTTTGTTAATACATACTGCTGACGACTTTCCATACTACAATGATGCAATAGTTGTCCAATACTCCTCGGTTTTCAATGGTCACTCTCAACTTCGGTCGGTTCTTGTTATCTCAAGCACGAAGATGGAAAGGATGGTAATACTGCCGGAACTAATTTATGGAAGGCTGGTAGGGGACCTTTAGACTCAATATCAATCAGGGCAGAGAGAAGCTATGAGGTAGTGGACTCCATAGGAACTCAGTAAATAACACAGTGGCAATAGTCGTCCTAGGCAGAAGTGCAATTGGTTAGATCAAAGATTCAGTAATTTCTAATTCGAATAACTTCTACAGTTGCGATAAACTGATGTGGTTTTTTTTTAAAAAAAAAATCAAACACACCGAAATGCAATTTTACGTCTTTCTGTTAGATGTACACCCAATCGTCTCAATTCATCTTGTATGCCAGAAATAGTGGTTTCCAATATAGAAAATTGTGTGCCAAAACCAAGCGTTATCATCATCAAGAAGAATAATACCGACCATAAACTAGAAAGTGGCATATTTGTGATTGCTTCAGGATAGACGATGAAAGCAAGTCCAGGACCTTGATGTTGAAAATGACAAAAATAATAATGATATTAATAATAATAATACAAATACACTTCAGTGATCATCACGCTAGTTTTACTAGTTCAAATATTCAAATTTGGACATGGTTGTGGCTAGAGATTATTAGTTTCTCAGCAGCATGTTTAATAAATGTTTTTTGTCGACAATAAAAAGGTAGTACACCTACCGAAACATACTAAGCACCTATGTTGATGATAACATTGTCAGTAATGTTTATGTGGTTTTTTTTTAAAAAAAATTTTGATGGTCATATTCATCAAAAATTTACAATCCAAAGGCTAAATAAACAAAAAACAATTCTCAATCTTATTCATATATCAGTAATTCAGATGAAAGTAATAACCATTAAGTTAAACAACAGTTCAACATTAGCAGATAGAGAACTTCGATATTCTTATTAATTTATAATTAATTGAACCGCAAAGCTATTATTATACCACCACTTGAATAGAAAGTATCATTTAGTAACCTGTTTATGCTTTTACTGTTCTTTTCAGATGTCCGAAAAAAAATGTTTATTATCACACACATGCGGTTAGCTGGTAATTTCTTTACAATTTAAGTTTTTATTGAATTATTGAGCCAAAATAATAATAATAATCCTATCATTTTGGATAATAATGTTTCAAAATTTATATCATATGATATTGTGGTGTGAGCTACTAATAAGTAGTATATGACGTGAGCGTCAACGTAATGTCCGGCAGAGGAAGATGGGGGAAGATCAAGAAAGGAAGAGTTAGAAAACAATGGAATTTGTATGAAACGCATGAATAGTGACAATGGATTGATGTTTGGCAACAGGAACAGTCCAGTTCGATAGGATGAACTGATCTTTTGCAAATGAACAATTTACGATATGGTTTTCCGATTTTACTAAGTAACTCTGTAATTTTCGTTAAATACTATTCGGTTGCCCCCACCTGTGTTCTCGTTCACTACAGAAGTCCTAAACATTCCAGTTAATTATCTATTCGCCGTCATGAAATATGTGTATGAATAAATTGAATTGTACAAAACATACAAAATCAACTTGATTCGTATGGAGGACAGAAAGATTATCTATTCCACAAAATCTTCGATCGGTCTAACCAAACAAATCATCCACACACAGACACGCATCCAAAGTCAACATCAATCAAAGTGAAACAGCAGCAGCAACAACAAGAACAACAACTGAAGAACACGAGAAAACGTCAACAAGAAAAAAGATGTAAGGGAGACAGTAACAAATACACTGATAATTCGTACAAAAAATATTCTAACTATATCATTTAAAATGAACACGAACATACACACACACAAAAATCGAAATCACCTACCACTGGATGCAACTTCAGCAACGGTCGTATTTTTCTGATAGGCCATAAAACCCAAATTAGAAAAGATCACAAAACCAGCATAAACCGAAGTTGCACAATTAATAATTGCCACAATGACAGCATCTCTATATATTCAATAATAAAGATAGTAAAGTTCTAGAATTAAGTGATAAATGTAAAAAAATAATTATAGTGGGAAAAATAGCAGTAACAATAATAATAATAATGTTTGTTACGTAAGCTATGTACTATTGGTTATTCATAAATGAGTAGTGTATTAACTACCAGATTTAATGCTCATTGAATTCTATGGATCAAATTATAAGATGACCACCTCCAATGGTCTGGTCTACAGTGCTGACTTGATATTATACATGTTCGAATATAAGGTGGTTGCAAGTGATCAGTGGGGTTAAAAACCCTAGGTGTATGATTCATGCTAAGCTAGCATACCTCAATAGGTTTAACTATTGTCTAGAATGAAATGAAACTTTGCTCAAAAAATCTAACATTCATCATCCAGGCTAATAGAGTGAATCAACATTATAAAATAGGACAAAACTGACGTTGGTCAGGTCATTAAATAGTGACAAGTCAATTAAAAAATATGTGTTAAAAGAGATAAGTGGACACCTGAAAAATCTAGTAGCAACTTCTCATAATGTGGCGTTGGGTAACATGGGAAGATAACAGATATGAATCGCTCGCTGACAGGTGTCAGGTAGCACGAAACATAGGTCTATATATTCTTGTAGACTACTTCCAAAAGCCTAATGTAATGATATGTCAATAGTGGTTATCTACAAGCCAAGTATTCTGAACGTTACCGATTGAAGTGGTATTCTTAATCCTCATTTCCATCGTTTACTTGGAAAAACAATAGTGTTTTGTTACAATGCTAAAAATGGGACTATTCCATTTCTAAAATCTGCATAACCTCTGATAAGAAAAACATTGTTTCAGAACTATGAGCTCAAAAAACCACTTAAGATAATGATTCTTAGTCTGAGTTTACTTAAGTTTCAATTCTTAAATACTGGTAACAGAAGATGGCTTAAAAACTTTAGCTGGTACGGTCAAAAAGGCTATACTGATGTTAGTTTCCAAGTTATTTTAAACTTAACTAGTTGATGTAAGATGGCAGTAGACTCAAGGACGCGCATTTCATTCTACTTGGGACTCCAAGCTCAGAGTGCAAAATCAACTGTGAATCGCAGATATATATGCAGCTGACAAGTCACGAATAAAACAACACGAGTGTCCAGGATTCTACTGTTAGCCACTATACATTTCTGATATCTTTATTATGATGCTTACAACTTTTTTAAAAAATTATTCAGAATCTACACCTACCCACTAATTCATATCTCGTTCATGTTATTCTACTGTATATCACGTCATTCCCGATTTGTAAATGTCAGCCTATTTCACCCCATGTTAACCATATTTATTCTGATTATGAATCTTACAATTTCATTTTACGTATAGATCTAGAGTTAGGGTCAACACTTCATATTAATCACCTCAACACTAACGATTTTCATTACAAATAATCTTAAATTTACATGCTAAAATATTCAACGATGTATTTCGCCTTATTATTAGTATTATTATAAGTAGTAGTAGTAGTAGCATCTGTATACTTGACCGAATAGCAATATAGTGATGCTGGTGATCTGTACATGATCCACGGACAACAAAGAGACTGACTAAGTCCTTAATTTCAATCGGGAGATTCAAACAACCAATATCAATGAATTGGTTAGAATGGCACAACCATCAAAGGATACATTTTAATAGCTTTCGTATATCCTCGAAGCTGTTTGTTTCAAACATAGGTAATCAATATGGCGTCTCAAAAATAATCGATAGGAAACAAGGAAGGGAAATAGAGCTTTGAAAAATAGCAGGTAGTGTGAATAGAAACAATATACAAATCTATTTTTACTATAGAGTTATTGTCTAGAGATTAAGCGTCCGCGAAAGAGACCAAAGATCCAATGTTTGCTTCCCGCGAGTAAGGGTTGTGGACGCGCATTGGTGATGAGTCCCATACTAAAACGAAATAGCCTCCCAGTACTTCCAGGTTCCTAATAGTAATCTAGCACTGATTGATTCGTGATTTCAACAAATCTATTGTCAAACTTTAGAATATTTTCAGCATAGATTCTTGCAGTCATAGAATAATCAAAGATTTTCAATTATTGACTGACATGCTTTACACCACCATAGAAAATCTAAAAGAATTGAACAGCTACTTCGTTCTAGTTAATAATAACCTTAGTACAACCATAATTTCAGTTTCGAATTTTCAGGATTTCACATAGAGTTTACAACCATAAAATGTACTTAAGCTACAAAATGTGTTACATTATTGAATCATATAAACAACCACGATCGAATTACATTCGACAATAAGGATTATGACACAATAGTGAGTACCATATGATAAATTACATGAACAATGTTTGAACTAGGAAAATTGAATATTCATACGCAATTAATAAAAGTAGAAATAAAACTTGACATGCAACAATAGGAAAGAGTATAGCAATGATATAGCGGTGCTATCCTTCACATACCTGCAACAATTATTCTTAAATTTATTATAACTGGACACTGTTATCAAACCACCGTTGCAACAACTCAAAGAGAAGAAAATCTGTGTAGCAGCATCAGCCCATACTTGTGGATCTGTTAAACGTGAAAAATCAGGTGTCAAGTAATAAAGTACACCTGCTCCTGAGCCTGGAAGAAGTGCTCCTCGTATAAGAAGAACTGTTAGCATGACATATGGGAACAGAGTTGTGAAATAAGAAACCTACAGTACATATATACATATAAAACAATTTAGTGATGTATTGGTTTCATGTTTGAAATAAAAAAAGAATTCCTTGAAGAAAAGTGATTATACACCAAGTCAAGTACTCAGAGTAAGAAGAATAGATTTCTTCCTTTCATATAGCAATGATTTCACTCGTTTTCTATTAAAATAAGGATACTGAACTTGTAATGTGTGTACTAATCTTCACATTTATAAGAACACAAATGTCAATACCAACGTCACAATACCTGATAAATCAGTTCTGCTAGTTATGAGTATTTGTTTTCCAAACTAACTTGTACAGTTGTTGTGTAAGAAAAGTTTAGTCTTGTCTATAAGCATGGGAATTGCAGTTTATGTACTAATGTGTTGAGCTTACAAGCTTATTCCAGCTTCCGGACAAACTAATTAAACTTTTCTGCCTGAGTCATATTCACTTGTCTTTCGACCTTGTCAGCCATGGTTGTCATGGTTGTTTTGTATGCGTACTTTGCTTATCACGTGTTTAGCCTATTTTTGCCTCACCCATTAATGTTTAGTCATGACTCATCGCATTGGATTGGTTCACTCGCCTGCTCCGCTCCATTTCACATTTCTTTGCTTTTACGCTCTGTCTTCTTATGTCTCTGTGTGTGTGTGTGTGAACGATTGCTTGAAATAAATTCATCCAACTGAATCTACATTTGGTTTTTCGTTATGGCCGTCGCACAAATGAGGAAGGGAAAATTTATTTCATTATTATACTACTCGATAATTCCTAAATATTGATGTCAAATTGCGGTCCATTTTTGAACTTCGATATGAAATGTTTGTTGTCATGACCAAACAGTGTTTTACGGATACATAGTTTTAAGTAGTTTTATTTTAATAAATAAAGAGATTCTTATCACAGTATATGAATTTAAACATGATCATGACAAGATACATACTACACTTTCACAATATTTGACTCTAAGTGAATTATACACTTGATTCTTAACTTTTCTTATAATGTCTATTTCTATTTTATTTTTATAATTTACTCATTGTCAATACATGAAGAATAAATAGTATATTTTTACATTGAAAATGTATATTATGCCACTTTACACAAATAATATCATTTAAAACTATTGTATAAATCTTTCAAATTATGATGAATATATTTCAGCGTAATGTAAACAAAGATAAACGATTCATTTCAAGAGTTTCAATAATAATGACTTACTTTACCAAGAGATTGGACACCTTTAATAACCGCTAATCCACATAAAATCCAACAAGTTAAAAGGCATAAAGATAATTCCCAATTAGGGCCACCAAACTCTTCAAAACCAGATGATAATTTAAGTACTCGATTACTAATTAAAAACAAGAAAATTAGTATTTCAGTAAATAATTTATTTAGATGGGGGGGAATTATTCATGTTACTCAGCTTTCAAATCATAAGCTTAGTATAGGTAAGATATAGTTTAAAAATCAACCGATTTCAATTGGGAAACCAAAAAAAAATAATCATTAGACTGCCGTTTCATTTTCGTGTGGAACCCCACAGTCCATGCCCAATCCTAAAAACCCTAGGGAACAAACTCAGGATTTACATGACTTTTTGTGCGGATTAGACTTTAAGACAACTTGGTTGAATACTGTTTGGGAGTCTTATTCTATGGGGAAATGTATCCAATGTATTTTGGTTGATAATACTATTCAGCTAAAGCCACTCGCTGATATACAACTACAAAGTCCTTAACTCCTTTATGAATGTACTTTTTTTTTATATTTGCTGAAATCTGAATTCCAAATATGCTAATCTATAGTTCTGATATAATAAAGTTTCAGCAAATGAGCTGAACGCTTTCCCAGTTGAATAGGTAAATAATTGTCAACAGGAAACTGTTACATACGTATCTCCATGAATAACAATCAAATTTAAATTCTAATCTAACATAGCACTACTATCGAACTTGAAAGGTACATATTTTGATAAACTGATCGTAAACAAAGATACTAACTGCGAAAATTGAACCCTATTCTGTTTATCAGAAAAAATAACATACAAGAAAGGATGCAAATGAGATTAAGGTGAGTAAACTTTATCGGTAACCGTAGGGTAATAATCAAGGGTAGCGAATCGGTTGATGAAGTAACGATTCTTCATGAATTAAGGTAGTTAAGATGTGTGTTAATTAAGCCTAGTCGCTGATAAGAGTGGTTCAAAATAACGACATAGGAGGTTTTAAACCGAAAAGTGGTATCTGTCTGACTACTGATCTGAGTCATGTTGATAAATACGGACTATCTAGTAGTGATCGACGCGGTTACTGAGATCAATGGTTGATTAAGAATAGTTCACAGATGCACTCCCCTTTTATCTTTCATTCATTTCTGAACTCCTTTATATAAACCTTTCCACCGTGTATTTTGATAACATTTTCTCAATGTTCAGTCTTTTTAATCATGATTGATACTACCGTATTCCAATCTTTGTTTGAGTCTTGTTAATTTTATCTCATTGTTATGGTAATTTGGACGAACGCATATCTGTGCCAGGGTCTACTGTGGTCATATACAGCTTATAAATGCAAAATCATATTGATAACTCCAAATAATGGTTTCTTGTTATCACTGTTGAGATAGCTCACTTCAGTTCAGTGGTATTCTATGAACGTCATTAGGAGTCTAGATAATTTATAGGTATCCACTGTGATTAGTGTAGTAATAATTGCTCCATGGGTTCAGATTACAACTGTATTAAAACCATTAAATTAAATTGCTAACGAAGTTTGAAGCACTTGAATAGAAACAAACGGACAATATGTATTTATCATATTAAATAAGAGTTAAATCCAATCCTAACTAGAACGTATCATCAACTGAATATACCTAAATTCTTGAAATGACGTTCCTATTTAGACTCAAATCTATTTTCTATTGGCTGAGATTATAAGGTCTACTGAGTTATGATAACCAAATCAAGGATGTCTTTCAACAGCCCTGCATTATGTGGGGCTGAATAATTTATTTGTACAGCTTTTATTGTCTTTCTACACAGTATCATCAGCACAGTGTTGGACTATTTTAAAAACTATTTTTAAAGCTAACGGGGTGTTTCGATGCATCATTTCAAGGAGCTCAAATGTTAGCAGGAATGTTTAGATTCAAATCTAATTGTAAAATCGCGAGAGTACACAAAAATCCGTCACAATAAATAATACTGACAATTTATGTATCATATTTACAATTATTGGGAACGAAACGCAAGTGAAATAAAAGATGACGAAATATTTTCGCTCTCATTTCGATTAACGATTAATTTATAAATTATGATTATCATTGAAAATTTGAAAGTATCAAACAGCTATTTCGCCTTTGTATGATAGAGCTGCTTAGGAATGTTAATCCACGATCCTACAACCGGGAATCTCATCTTAAACCTTAGAATCAAACTACCAACCAACTAAAAAGAACCAATGAAATAAGTAGTTCATTCAAAGATGCAAATCACTGGATCATTTCTAGATTGCATTTTAACGTTTGGTTGAAAAACAATGCATATACAGCTTATGTATATAATAAGTAGTTGATAATAAGGTAATTACAAATATAATGGTGAAGTATGTATAAAAATGAGTGAATCCATTTCAGATACAATACATTTTTGTAACATAACTAGAGGAAATAATCAATATGAGCAGCAAAAAGAAGGGTTGAAAATATAAAAGAATACCAATAAAGATGAGTATGGAGAAAACTATACAACCGAAAAAATTAGGTGTGTATAAATAATTGTAAAATAAAACGACATATAGGAAGATAATTATTATATACATTTCCCATCAGCGCCACCGGTTTTGAAGCACAATAAACAGTTTAGAAAAAAAATATTTTTATTAAGTGTTTAAACCTATTTATAGACTCAAAGCGATCGGCTATTTTTGGCATATCTTTAACCTATGTGGATTGCCATTAGGTTAAAAGCATTCTACGCAGAATTAGATGGTAGCTATTCTCCATTCTTGTTTAACTTTGTCGTAAACATCCTATTAGAGTTAACATTAAGCTCGTCAGATTTTTCAGGGGTTGACCTTCTACCAGGAAAGTCGCTTACTGATCTAGAATATGCCGATGACATAGGTCTATTCGATGAAGACGCTGACAAAATGCAGAGTCTTCTGACTACCATAAGCAACAATGCGAGCATGTTCGGGATGCGGTTTTCCCCTTCGAAATGCAAAATGTTGCTTCAAGACTGGGTTGCTTCGGCACCTGAACTAGTGATAGGGAGTGAAGTAGTCGAGCGTGTTGATCACTTCACTTATCTTGGGAGTCTCATCAGTGCTGATGGCCTGGTGACTGACGAAATCTCAGAAGGCTTGATTGGCTTTTGCAAACCTGCGTCACTTATGGCGTAGGCGAGATATCCGTTTGCTGACTAAAGGACAAGTGTACTGCTCAGTAGTTCGCTCCGTCTAACTTTATGGCTGTGAAACATGGCCAGTGAGAAGAGAGGATATTCGTAGGTTACTAGTATTCGATCATAGATGTCTCCGAAGCATTGCTCGTATATCGTGGGATAACCGAGTGAGCAACGTTGTTATTAGGAATCGGTTGCTAGGTAAGAATGGCAGATCAATCGATGAAGTGGTAAAACTGCATCAGTTGAGGTGGTTGGGACATGTGTTGCGTATGCCTAACCACCGACTGCCACGACGAACTATGTTTTGAGGTGTACGAGTAGGTTGGAAGCTAGGGGCGGCCAGACCAAAACATGGCAGCAATCCATGAAGTCATTGAGAAGTGGACTGAGTCGTGTTGGTAGATATAGACTATCTGGTTGGGGTCCGCGAGATGAAAGTCAGCGATGGTTAGAGACCTTGAACGACATGGCTCAAAATCGTTTACAATGGCGCAGGTGCATCCACTCTTTGAGCTCTCTCAAATCCTAATCTTCTGGATTCGTCAGCACCTCTACCTTTGTCTTTCTAACTTTATCTCACTGAATTATATTTCTTGAATAATATCTTCCAACCCTAGTCTTGTTTATTAACATTAATACCTCTACTATCTTTAGCACTATGGGATTTGATTTGACATTTGCGTCTCTGTGCTAATGTGATGGTATGGCAACATGAACTTATGTACATACGTACGAAGTTCTACGTTGCAACTGACTGACTGACCGATGGTAGCTATCAATGGAATTCAGGACGCGCGTTAAACACTAGTTATCTGAATGTATTCTTCATTTTAGAGGCACGGACCCACTTCCGTCTGATTGAAACGCCGTTTGGCTGTCCACAAAACGACTAGATAGCAGCTAATACTGACCTGTGAAACAGGGTGAATTCAAACTTATCACTACCATCCATATATATTGACAAAATGCTTGTGATTGAATGGCAATATCGAGGCAATCCTCACAAGGCGCACATATGCAAAAAGAGACTGGTTAACTTCAGTTTAAATCATTAATCGGTAAATTTCAAACAATTAATACAAATTAATTAGAATTCCCCTAATTGCATAAGGCAATGTCTACCTAAACTTATTAGCTTTTTGCAGCATAATTAGATTGCTTTCGAGGTGAAAAGTATTAGTCTAAAACCTCAGAATGAATATTTACCCTAAAGGTAGGTAGATACTTTCTGCTAAAGAATCCCAAATAGAATGAAACGTGCGCGCTGGATTCTACTGCCAGATACATTTCATCTACTCCATATTGACAACAATTTCAGTTATTTTTTCATTTACAGACCCAACATATCTGAATGAATCTATAAGTATGGCCAACATACAATATCTTACTTGACAAGACAATCATAAGCACGTGAATATAGATATCAATAAATGTAAGCACAAGGGCAAATTCATTGTCTACTATTAGTGCTGTGAGATTGTCGAGCGATATCTGAAAAGCATTTTTTTTTCTTTAATGAATAAAAAACGGTAGGTAAACGAATGACTTGTGTTATGGTGACTTTGAATCAAAATGTTGTTTTTTAAGCATTTGATTCAATAATTAATATGTTATTTCCTAATGATATTGAGAATAAATTCCTTCATAGTGCATTTCGTTTAATTTAGATTAATTGATCAGTTCGATCAAATTGATTGATCCATCCGCGTGATCTCATTTCATAGTCTACATTTGGTTGTGGTTTATATATATATATATATATATATATATATATATTGGAGTACATTTATCAGCTAGATGACCTTTGAAAAACAATTCGTCAATTGAGGCATAAAAACAATAGCATTTATTACAATGTAGTTTGTATCATTTGAATAGTTTTCATAGAATAAAATATATACACAAAAAAAACAATGCTGTTAAGTTACATGTACTAGACAAACCACTCTATCGGATTATCTGGTGTCAATTAGTAATATAATTGATAAAAATTAACCCTAATTTCATAATGACGTATTCATTAGCACACTAAGTGATCTTGTGTTCATGTCGAAGATGAGAAAGTCGTAGTAGGAGGAGTAGGGAGAGTTAGGTGTAGAGTAGAGTAGAGTAGAGTAGAGTAGAATAGAGTTAAAAAAAAACCCCATAAAAATCCGTAAATTAGTGTCTTATGAATATCTAAAAACAAGTATGATAATTTATTCAAATTAAAAAAAAATATAACAATTAAAATAAACCTGTAAAACTCATAATTTATTGACAACAACAAAAAAAAACAGAAATTTTCTCTTACAAATAATAATCTTCTGATGGTGATTTCGGAGAGGTTATATTACTAGTGTAATTCACTGAAATACAGAGAGAGAGAGAGAGAGAGAAAAAAGCCAACACTGAAACACAAAACACAAAATGTATATTTACATAATTCTCATTGAAATAAGATGAAAATTAAAATGCACTGGGGAACGAACATTAAACTATGCATAATTTATTTAAACTGATGACTGAATGCATGAATTCAATGGAGTGCCACCATATATATACATGTTAGGTCAGTGATATATTTTTGGCTAGCAAACTTTTTCGCACTAAATATTCTCACACATTTTTATTTATTCAACTATCTATCAATCACACTTGTTATGTGTATAATCATCAGATGTTGTGATAAGAACGCGAAATTTGTTTTTTTTTCTTTCTTTTTCATTGATAGATATGATGAAAAAAAAGTGGACTATAACGTGTTTAATTCATAGGTTTTATTTAGTGAAGTTGACGAATTATTAGGTAGAGTATTATTCTACTAGGATTATGTATGATTAATCTGTTTGTCACTCTCTCTCTCTCTCTCTCTACAGAACAATTTTTAGGAACGAAATATCAGACTATAATATTATTATTATCATGATTATCACTAATTGACATGACATGGAAGATTTGTAATTTCTCCCGGATTATTGCATACATGTGAAATTGTATCTGTGTGTATTTGGTCTTTTAGTAAATCAGTTAAAAATATTACCAGCTGAATTTCATTATTTGAAATCTTATAACAATGCATTGACAAGTGAATAGCAAACTTTAGATTTGAGGAGAATATGAACGTCAGTAATTCAAATAGATAGAGTCAAGAGGCTGTGAACCTTAAATTTGGTGAGTGAGTCGGTAAATGGAATAGTTAGATTAGACTAGTTAGCAAGGTGAGCGCATACGCACTTGATAAAATAGGTTTCCCATATGAAGATATAGTACTTAATCTTTCCTGACCTTACAATCAGAGAGACATTAACACTTAGCTAGTACGGAAATTTATTCTACGGGTTCAATGAAGACTACCTGAAACTGTTTAAGAACCAGAACAAAGTGTAGACAATATCTTGTCATTCAAATTAGTGACCGTATAATATGTATGTTGACAGAATACGATCAGCATGAAAAAACCACGCAAATATGACACTAGACAATATATATATAGTCAATCATTTATTTTTCAAAACCGAGTTCAAATTAATAGTTTAGACAAAAACATAAATTATTTTTCATGGTTAATCAGAGAAAACAATTGTCTTAGCTGCTGCGCTTGAACTTATCAGACATCAAACACAAGTCTACACAATATCATGACGATTAGAATTTTTTTTTATAAAAAAAACAGTTAATTGTTTAAAATATGCCGGATTTCAATGGTGTCAATGACATAATTTTGGTAAATTTTTATCAAATGTAATGTTTAATGCAATTAAGTTAAAAACTACAATGAATCATTGTTTTCTAAAACATTGAAGTTATAAAAATAAACTGTACATAAATGGCGATCAGGTTTTGATATAAGTTTTGAATTCGATGATTTATATTACGTGATTGTCTTAGCTGAATAATTCGATAGTGGATGCATAAATGCAAAGGTGTCAAATAATACTGATCAAATAATTTGAATACTGATAAGCATAATCTTATTACTTTCTCATATTGAGTATTGACGACAATTTAAGTTCGTGTGACAAACAGCTTAAACCATTATTTACCAGACATTAAGACTACGAAGGAAGTGATCACTTTTGAAAATTCAAGCTTTATCACACTGAAATATATGAACACATTTGGAGTGTTTTTTCTTTGAGTTTTATGAATGTGATGGCTGAGTGTAGAATGATCATTAGTGAATGAGACAATAATCCCATGTTACGTACCACCTACCACAATATGTAAGCATAAAAGTAATTGGATTGATAACTACTACCAAAATAAATCACTTGTGAATCATGTGTCGAAATCTAGGCTTCTTAAATGACGTTCTTAATATTGCAACATTGCATTTAAAATTTGCATTTTCTTAAATATCTATTTGTATATATCTTTTTTTGAATTTTCATTGTAACTGGAATGTTGAAAAGTCTGATCAGACACGATAAAAAGTATAACAGTTTGACTAAACAAATTCAAGACAGCCCTCAGCAATGAGTTCCGTGTTTTCAAGATCTACTCAATGGAAAGGAAGCTACTATGAAGAGCCATTGGAAAGGGGATCAAGGAGGCGACCAATCCAACATGCCAGGAGGTTCTGGGTCACAAGAAGCACCATCACAAGAAACATGTTAGTACTCTGGATAAGATTCAAGAAAGAAGGCAGCAATCAACATAAGCCAAATAAGAGCAGAGAAAGCCAAGGCACAAGCTGAATATACAGAAGCAAACAACAAAGTGAAGAGGAGCGTCCGAACAGACAAACGTAAATATGTGGAAGATCTAGCGATGGCAGCTGAAAAGGCTGAAAGAGAAGGGAACATGAGACCATCATACAATACAACAAACAAGTTCTCTGAAAACACTATCATAAACCAGGACAACCAATGAAAATTAATCAGCATTACTGAAGAACAGCGAAACAGGTGGGTTGAGCACTTTAAGGAACTCTTGAATCGACTAGCCATACAAAAAACACATCCAACATCGAAGCCACACCCACGGACCTCTCAATCAATGTTGGCCCACCAACAATCGGAGTTGAGGATGGACATGAGACAAATGAAAGCGGCAAGGCAGCGGGACCAGACAACATTCCAGTAGACACTATGAAGGCAGACATGGCAGAAATTGCAAAAATACTCCACATTATCTTCAAAAAGATTTTGGATGAAGAACAAGTACCAACATACTGGAAAGAAGGATACCTGTTCAAAATACCAAAGAAAGGCGATCTTGTCGTGTGAGAATACCAGGTAAAGTCTTCGACAGAGTATTGTTAGACAGAATTAAGGACTTCGTAGACTCCGAACTTCGAGATTAACAGGCTGGATATCCTGAGGATCGATCATGTGCCGACCAAATTTCCTCATTACGGATCATTGTGGAACAATCGGTTGAATAGAACTAATCAATCTACATCGATTTCACTGACTACGAAAAAGCGTTTGATGGTGCGGACAGGATAACTTTATGGAGACTTCTCTTAAATTACGGCGTGTCTAAAAAGATATTCAATATCATACGAAATTATTATGATGCATTAAACTGCGAAATCGTGCACGGAGGACAGCTGACACCCTCGATCGAGGTGGAGACCGGTGTCAAACACGGTTGCTCACTCTCACCCTTTTTGTTTCTCCTGATAATCGGCTGGATTATGAAGACGTCAACATCTGGAGGTGAGCACAGGGTACAGTGGATAGCAAGGATGCAGCTGGACGATCTAGACTTCGCAGATAGTATGGATCTTTTATCGCACAAGCAACAACAAATGCAAGAGAAGACTGTGAGTGTAGCAGTAGCCTCAGCAGCAGCAGGTCTCAACATACTTAAAGGGAAAAGCAGGATTCTCTGATACAACACAACATGCGCCAATCAAATCACACTTGATGGAGATACCTTGGAGGACTTAAAAACCTTTACATCTGGGCAGCATCATTGATGAGCGAGATGGATCTGATGAAGATGTGAAAGCGCGGATCGGGAAAGCAAGGGATGCATTTCTTCAATCGAACAACATCTGGAACTCAAAACAACCAACACCAAACTCAGAATTTTCAATACGAAAGTCAAAACAGTCCAATTGTATGGGACGGAAACTTGGAAAACTACGAAAGCTATCATTCAGAAGATACAAGTATATAATCACAGTTGTCTACGCAAAATACTTGGGATTTGTTGGCCAGACACAATCAGCAGTAACCTACTATGAGAGAGAACGACTGAAACTCCAGTAGAGGAAGAAACCAGGAAGAAGTGATGGAAATGGATAGGACACATTGAGGGAAGAACCCAAATGTGTCAAAAGGCAAGCCCTCACTTGCAACCCTCAATTACAACGAACTAAGTCGAATAGAAAAGAATCACAGTTATGAGAACTGATTGGATAAGAGTAAATCAGCGTACTTCAACATGAATCCTCATTGAACATACTTTCATTCAATCTATGACTCGATGACAGAAATATTGAATAATGCAGAAATTTAAATTCCAATACCTAACACGGTTTGAACATGTATATTACAGATATTTTTATGTGAGCAGTTAAATTAAATAATTAAATATGTAGAAATCGAATAGATAGAAAACAACAGTTTACTTAATGAACATCTTGGTTTTGATTATACCTGACTATGAATATCACTTACTTCTCTTTGAATCAATACAATCCGGTGTACTCCAATCAGGATTACATTCTGTCCAAGGTAATGTATGCGTAAAACTAACTCCAAAATAATATAAACAGTGTGCAACGATAACTTGATAATAAATACTTAATAACCATGATAAAAATACCATAGCATAACCAACACCTAGAAAATATGAAGAAAAAAAAGTAAAATTTGCAACAAAATCTGTAAAATAATAAATAAAGTTTCTCTGCAATTTATCAGCAATATATATATTAAGCTTTAGAGAAAAAATGCTGTCATAACAAAGGATGGATAATATACACGAATACATTAAATTTATCCAAGTTTTTATTTTTTTTTTATTGTCGATGTCAAAAGCTACAATTCTAACCTAATTCGTGTCGGCAAACATGCATCCCCAAAAAAGGATTATATCTGATGTTGCAAATTAGTCTTTAGTTTTTCAGTAAAGTTGGATTATCGTGAATAGTGAAAAGCACATTCTGCTTACTATTTAAATAATCAAAGCTGATCAATTATTGTAATTTTCAAGCTTTTTGGATTAATATCAATTCCTGTAAATAAATTACAATTATTCATTTTATTGATTATTTGCATCTTTTTTATTGATGTTTTAGGATTGCAGTTGACCAGTCTCATTCGGCATATGTTCATCATGAGCAAATCGCCTTATCATTCATTAGCAGAGATTGATAATAGATAGCAGTGGAATTAAGGATGTGCATTTCATTCTGTTCGGGACTCCGTTCTCGGAGTGAACAACCACTATGAAATACAGGTACATCGGTCTTCGGATGAGAAAGACACAAGCATCCTCGACTCCGCTACTGGCCATCACCAATCTATGTTAACATTGCTTGTGACTTAGCGTCAGTATCGAGGCAATCCGCATATGATGCACTTCTAATAAAGACTGAGTAATTGCAGTTCTAAATATTAATGACAGATTCAAATAACTAACACCAGCGAGTGGATTTCTGGACTCAATAGCTAAGTGAATAATGCGGTCGCGTTTGAAGCAAATGTTACAGAGTTCGAGTCTCAAAGTGGACATCAAATCCAAGATGTATGTAGACCCAGCTACAGACGAGTCCTAAAAAGGACGAAACACTGCTAGCTACCATCCATCTATGCTCCATAAATCAGTATTTTTATCTTGTAAGATTTATTTGTTCATGTTCGACAATTATAACATTCACATCAGCCTTCACATTTTTCCTGTTACTTTTTATATCGCTAGAACCACAAATAAAGATTTGAGTATACTGAAAAAACTTTGAATTGACGAAATTACTCAAAAAATTACGAGTAAGAGGAAAACATCTATTACAAATTAACTAAAAGCCTAGACCATACAAAAAGAACAGAATGAATAAATATGTGCAGATTTTGAAAGCTTTGTAGTATATTATCTATATGACGCAAATCAGACTTATTTACGCATCCATAAAGACGTTGTGGTCACTTTTTATCTTGCCCTGGTCGCCTTCAATAACAGTAATCTTTTACTTACAAATTGAAAAAGATCAGTTTAGTTTTCTTTCTCTCCATGATTTCTTGAGTTTTCTCTAAGCATCACTTATTTCTATTTCATGATTGACTTTGTTTTCGCTGCGGATATCAATCTTTCTTTCAACAATCTTCATATTTGTAGTGGAGTTCAACCCCGTCGGGTATGGGCAGTAACTACCGAAGACAATGGATGAGGTTGCATGAAGTCCCTAGATTGATCAAAGTTAGACACTACCACCGTTGGAGGGCTATGCCTCCCCAATGGTCCAGAGGTTAGGCGTTTGCGCGACAGACCGAACTACTTGGATCCGAATCCTGGAAATAACAGGAGTCGTGAATGCGCACTAATGATGAGTCACATACCACGATGAAATGGCGTTCCTGCGCTTCCAGGTTTCTATTGGGGGGTTAACAATGAATCATTCATGATGTAGATGCAAATTGTTCATATCTTAAACTCGTAATTATCCTACCATTTGAACAGTTTTTATAAGTCTTTCACATTTAGTGCAGTTTTATTATTCGTTATCAGTGGGAACATTTCTCACTGACTATATATATATAATCGATGAGAATCCAGGAATTAGATTTGTTGTTCTTATTGTTATTTAGATATAAAACCAGTGTTTGTTCTAAATCGGAAAACACCAGGGAATGCTTGTTAAATATGTCAATGTTTGTACAATAAATATTTATGTAAATGTCATTGTTTACGATAAAATGTAACTGTGAAACTTGATTTTTATTTTTGCCACTAAAGAAACGTCTTTTATCCAGTAAATTGTTAAATAACTCTGTGTATGGTATTTCAGATTTGTGATTAAATAATTTGACATATTTAATATGCGAATAATTTATTTTTAAAAGATTCAAAAAATGTTGTTTAGAATAAGTTGTATTTGTGAAAAATCAGTTAGTTTGTTTGCTTCACTTAGTAACTAGAAAACTGACGAAGAAATATGTAAATTTTTGGAACAGTATGATACTTAATACATTTTTTTCTGCCTTTTCGGTTTTTTTTTTCAATCAAACTGTTTTGGAAAATAAGATTTGATTGAATTATTATTGTGATAAATCTTTCGATCATAATTCAAAATTGACAGGCGTACAAAACTTGATTTATTTTTTATAGAAATAGGTTTTTCAATTCCCTCATGAAACTGATAAACAGTTGAAATGAAAACTGATTTTATTTTATAAGTTGTAATCTATATATAAATAACAAATATTGTACGATTCATGCATGTAATCAATCTGTACTCAAAAATAATTTGAAATTTTTCATATTCAAAGTACAAATTACGAAGTGAAACGTTTGCTTTTTAATTAAGATAGTGATAACCTAAAGTTTAAGAAGTTGTTTTATGAAATAAATCTAAAATTTTTCATGTTCAAATATCAATTTTTAATATAAATTCGAACATGAAATAAAGACCGATTTTCACCTCCATCACTATCCTATTGAATTGTCTTTATTATTTGTTCAAATAAGTTAGTAAGTTTATTTAGTAGTTTGACTTGGAAGTGCAAAATGTTTGACAGATTGATACTAAGCACACAATAAATGATATCGACAAACTGAGTAAGAAGCATAGTTAATTCAATGAACGATTCAACAACTTCATATAGGAAAAATTCTCATCTTTTTCTTTCAGTTAACATTATAAAATCAATATTACCTGTACATACATCCACACACACACACATATATACAAACCTACCTTTAAATAATGGACTGATATTCCAAACAGAAATAGGTCCTAAACTAGCGAATTGACCAAAAGCGAATTCCAGGAAGAATAACGGTAATCCAAGTAATGCTAACATTAGTGTGTATGGAATTAGGAATGCACCTAAAAATTATATTCAGTACATTGAACACCATGAAATATTTTTATAGTACAGATCAATCAATTTAAACAACATGATAAATGAAACAGGACAAAATACATGGCAACACTGAGTAGAAGCATTAACATTGTCAATTCATGCCTCATAGGACAAGGTCGAACTGTAAATTTAATTTGAGTGAATTAAATACTAATCAACTGATAAATAGGTCAAAAAAAAATATGGAATGTTAAATAAGCTAATTTGTTTCAAATAACATGGTTTTTTAGTTGTAAATGCATTGACATTTTTTGAGGTGTCAAATGTGGAGAATCTAGTTTTAGTATGTCTGAGATCGCTTCAATCCTCTGCTTATACACTGGTTATTCCGACCAAATGTTTGGTTAAATGTCTGAAAGAGAAAAACTGGGATCTTGTGTGATCGATACCAACTAATATAAAGTTTCTTAGTGAAAAAATGTTAGCTCACAACCGATACCCAACACATTACATTGGTCAACTGGAAATATTGATAAAGGAATTTCCACTGAATTGTAGTTTGAGATTGACATTGAAGTTAGAGGTTTCTTAAACGGAATTCTTTTTTAAATTATGAAGAAATTCACCGTTTCTCAAGTGAATCGTTACCATGTTTTTGTTATTTTGGGTATTAGATGTGGGTATTTCGTCATATAAGAGTGAATGAATATATACCTGCTTCAATGAGTGAGACACGCAAACACAATCCAAATTTGTTCATGTTGTCATTGAGGAACTTGCATTCGATCTAAATAAGAACAGGGACAGAAATTTCCGCTTTTATTTGCACCCAATAGCCGCCTCTGCATAGTAATCATAAAGAAGACTAAACGTAAATTAACCTATTCCATCATGTACGATTCTAAATCATGTCAATCAAAGTATACAACCGCTGGACGCCTGTGCCTTGTTAGCTCAGCTTAGGTCCACATCTATCTACATAGCTCAGTTCACCTGACAACGATTTCATTGATTAATGAAGCGTTTCGGGTTGGCTTCCTTCAAGCCTACTTCTACTCTTACACTGGATAAAATCAAGCGTAACGAAAGTAGCTAGTTGGTCAACTGTACTACATCTCCCAGCCATCTTAATCAATAATGATTCTCTACCACATGAATTTCTTTGATGACTTCACTTAGTACCTGGCGTCTTACCTTAGCACTACTCAATTAGTGATTAGTGGTTCGAAAATACACAAGCGATCCTCCGAAGATACCTTTGGAGGAAAACTAACAATATCCTCTCCTATTAATGATCAAGTTTAAAATCCACAAACTAGAGTAGTTCAAGAATCTGGGAAATAGACTCGTGCTTTGGTTGGCAATGGGAAGTTTCCTCCACTCCAGAAGTGACCAAATTCAAGAGAAACTGAGTGAACGGCTGAAACTGTTTCATTCTTTGCTTGCTTGATTTGAGCTTAACTAGGATTGTAGATAAAATACGATACTTACAAAAACAGAAATTAATGGACACGAGAGAAAGCTAGTCAGCCCGGCCTATCACATTAACTTCTCATCAGTTTGAAGTAAACTCCCTTACTGAAGTTAGTAATTAGATTGAAAAATTACAATACTATTGTCATTTCATTTTACAATTGTCGCAAATACTTGCAACTCAACAATTTTTATCGCGAATCATAAATAACACGTTTAAAGACTGTCAGTAACCAACACAATATATAGCCCTATAGACGGTACCATTAGGGATTAAGCAGAAGCAATAAAAGTATAATAAAACAAAATAATGAACGAACAAATATTTAGTTATAAAAATATTAACTAAACGAAAAAAAAATCTACGTAATTAATTTGCTGTTCATATCAGCTAGTTTTTTTGTACTAACCATTATTCCGTGACAAATGATTTTGGTAGGAACCAAGTGCATTTGTTAATTACCATTTACAAAATGACTGAAAAAAAATAGTCATTCAGTTTTAAATTTATTAAAGTGAACAGTTACAAGTTAGTCGGTGTTAATCGTGCTGATAAGTTGGAAAAAATGCATCTTTGTTTAAACAGTTCAATTAAACCCGTGTTGACCAGTTGAAAGAAGATATTTATATGCAATGATTATACAGGAAATATAATCAACAAAAATCGCATAATCCCTAAACAGAACCTCTGGAAGTGACAAAGATGATCCCTAGTTTTCCACCTTTGTTTATAATAACAAAATCCTACTGCTGTGAGTCGAACGATAAAGATTTTGAGTATAAATAACACTTTCTGACTTCGACGCAGTAGTGTTTCTTGTCAGTGACTTAATCAAGAATGTCTTGACAGAAAATGAAACCCAATTACCGTTATTATACTCATCTGGATCCTAATATACTGTCTGAGCACCGCTTTTAGTTCAAAACAATCGAATTACAACATCGTGACTGAGAAATAGGGAGCTCTAGTGTTTTTACAGCGATCATGTTCACAATGATATATATATATATATATATATATATATATATATATATGGCAATAAATGACGAAATGTCGATTGTTTCAATACTTATTTTTTTAATCAACAATCTACACGAACCAATTCATTGTTATGTTTTTGGCAAATAACAAATCCTAAACTTGTTATTTTTAAACCAGATATATTTAATGAAATCGTAAATGTGTTCACCTCTACAAAGACTATTTATCACATCTCGAACCGGCCTGCAATTGAAATCACACACTAGAGGGCTTTTTAAGGTACGCTATGTCACAACCCTATGATGTCTCACATGCGTTGTTATCTCTTGCCAAGGGCGTCTCGTCGATGAAAATATTGTCGTTCTGTTGCGTTGAGGTGTGGGGGCCAACCACACAAAAGATAGCGAATAATTGTCTGAAGCTCTTCATCCGTCCTAGTTGTAGATTTTACGTCCATTGCTGACAAAGGTGTAGCCTGAATAGAAGTTTGCAGTATGTGATGAATATCATCTTCCAGTGACACCGTAGCAATAATAACATCTTCGTTCTCAAACTTTTGAGTCGCAATTAATCTGGAGAGGACGTCAGCGTGACCAAAAGTCATTGTTGATTTATAGCGAATCTTAAAGTCATAAGCTAACAACATAATTGCCCAACGCTGTAAACGATTGGCAGTATGTACTGGAATGCCGGACTTTGCCCCAAAAATAGAGAGAAGAGGTTTGTGGTCTGTCAGCAACGTAAATGGTCGACCATAAATCATTTTATGAAACTTCTTTATTGCAAAAATCAGTGCCAATCCTTCTTTTTCTACTTGACTGTATCTCCTCTCAGTAGCATTTAGAGATCTAGACGCATGAGCTATCGGTTTCTCTTTACCATCAGGGAAACGATGACTAATAACAGCACCAATACCGTAGTTTGAAGCATCGGCAGCGACAACTATCTCTAATTTTGGATTATAGTGGGTTAGTAGTAAATCAGAGGATAAGATTTTCTTGATTTCTTCGAAGGAATTCTGGCATGCTTCTGACCAATTCCATGTTGCATTCGCTTTTAGAAGTTGATTCAGGGGATGGCGTAACCTTTGCATAGATGGAACAAAAACACTATAATATCCAATCATACCTAAGAATGATCTTAAAGTCACCACATCGGTAGGTGCAGGCATTTGTGTGATAGCATGTATATTATCTGGATCTGGACGGCGCCCATGTTTATCAAATATAAATCCAAGGTATTTAACAGATTGAAGGAAAAATTCACATTTATGTTTCTGCAGTTGGAAACCAGATTGTGATATTCGTGTAAGTACTTTATCTAAACGTGATAATAGCTCATCTTTAGAGGAACCCACAACAATAATATCATCAAGATAAGCGGCAACACCATCAAGATTTGATATCATAATGTCCATTAACTGTTGGAAAATAGCAGGCGCTGGCTTTACACCAAAAGGTAGTCTGTTGTACTGGTAAAGTCCACGATGAGTATTTATTGTTAGATAAGGCTTAGAATCATCATCAACTTCTACTTGTAAATAGGCATCAGATAAATCCAGTTTTGCAAAATAACGTCCACCATTGAGTTTAATGAATAGATCTTCGGGCAATGGCAATGGATATGAATGATTTTGCAGAGCATTATTTAATCCAGTAGAGAAATCAGCACATAGACGAACAGTACCGTTAGCTTTTTGAACGACAACAATCGGAGCTGCCCATGATGAGAAAGTAATAGGTTGTATAACCCCAAGCTTTTCTAATCGGTCAAGTTCTTTATCAACTCTATCGATAGAGGCGTAGGGTACCTGCCGTCTTGGGCGAAAAACTGGTGTAGCTCCTTGACGTAAATATAATTTGGCTTTACCAATATTGCAACATCCCAAAATATCTTGAAATACATTCGAATGCTTTTCAAAAAGATGAGCTGTAGTCAAGACGTTGTTGTTTGATGTAACATTTAATACAGGTAGATTTTTAGGAATATGTGGATCTTTCAATGTACACACTGCATCTAGTGGCACCTTCCAAAGATTTAATTTGTCAATCCAATCAATACCAATAAGATCTAAATCATGTCTGTTTGTTAAATAACAAGTTCCAGTAAAAGAATGTACTCCGAATTTAACAGCACAATTTATCATCCCAACGAGTTTTAGAATATCTCCAGATGCATTACGCGCTGTATGTTCAGTAGGGAGTAATGGGGGGCAACCCATCAATTCCCAAGTTTTCTTAGAAATAAGTGTGATATCAGATGCTGTATCCAGCTGCAAACGAATCTGAACATCATTAACTAATAGATCTACATATCTTCTTTTGTCAGCAAGATTACACGTGAATGTCGAATATATACTACGTATGGAACTCTTATGATTCCGGGGAAACTTTATGCGTTGTCCAGATTTCAAATAATTCTGTTGTCGGCAGACTGTTTCTTTATGACCAACTTTATAGCAAATGTTGCACTTATGACGTTTATAACGGCAAAATCTCGCGAAATGCCAAGATCCACAAAACCAGCACTTCGAAGATGGTTTGGATAATTTAGTTTGACGTTGATCAT